CTAATGTTGAAAAGAATTTGTCTAATGTAAAAACAAGCAATTTAGTTTTTCTACTAATAACGCATTTGTTTATGGAGCAATGAAGTATGAATTCGTTTTCTAAAGGTACTTAGGTAAATATTCATATTTGTCTATATACTTTTGTCCAGTACTGTATGTTAAAAAGATTAAGATTATGCAAACAAATCTGTGACAGAATGTTTTTCCCATCAGATACGATGATACTACCTGGTCAATTCAATAACGTTGCGAACAATAAACTAGAAATAGTACGTTGCTATCTATTCGGATTGGAGCGAGAGAAATAAAATGCAACTAGTTTGTATGCTCATTCGGAACGCGAGTTTACAATACAACTTCCGGTTACAAAAGTACTGAAAATTATTTTCGTTCGGCACTGTGCTGCGTGTGATGAAATGACTGTGAATTAAATTCGGAGCAACACGTTTTTCTTGATACGAGCAGACAGCTCGTTATATTTTACATTTTTTATTTTGAAGATGGGATGTGCGGACAGATGTTTCAAGTTCCTGAGACATGTAAAAATGATTTTCCGTTCTGGTCTATAAAAACAACGCTGTATTGAAGAAAATTAATTTCCTACCTTTTTAACTATTTTCAAAGATTAAGCTAGAAAATGGAACACTGATGGTTCTTAAATGAAGTATAGAGTCTCACCAGGGTTAATAGATCGGTTTGTCGCTCTGAATTCCTGCATGTAGAGTGGTGTCATCAGCAAAGCTGTGGTTCGGATTGCTCGTACAAATTGAATATGCAAACAACGAACGACTTTTTGAAAATGCAACTTTATTTAACAAAAGACGAATGAGTATTGGTCACATTCTTTTACAACCACCTCTACATATACTAAGTGACATAAATCCGAACACCCATTTTAATAAAAGTTGGTGAATGTATTTATCTTACTGCAAATAACAAGTGAAAAAATTTTCAGCCTTATCAGCTGGACATTCCGGATTTTATGCTGCTTTTTTTAATTCACTAACGCTCTAAAAATGAATATTTCAGCCGCAGTAAAGAATCAACGTTGGCGGATTTTGGTTCTTGACATCCTTTACGATCGGTTACGATGCCTAGAGTACGGAGACCTGTACGATTTCGTCAACTTAGTGAGTTTGATAGGGGCCGTATAGTGGGACTTCGGGAAGCTGGACTTTCTTTTCGGGCAATTGCAGTTAGAGTGCAAAGAAGTGTAGACACTGTGGTTAGGTGTTGTCGGGCATGGCTTCGAGAAGGCCGTACGCAAAGAGCAAGGGGCACTGGACGCCGCCGTAGAACAACAGACCGTGAAGATCGCCGCCTAAGATTATTATTGGCCTTAAGGGACCGTTTCTCCACTACCAGGTCCATTGCAAATGAATGGTTTGCAGAACACGGAAGACCTATTGGCATGAGAAGTGTTTACCGACGAATGAGAAGTTTTGGCTTGTTTTCATACCGGCCACACTGGGTCCTCCCTTTAACTCGAGAACACCGACGTAATCGTCTTCAGTGGTGCAGACAACGGTCACTCTGGGATCAGGAATGGAACAGTATTGTCTTTAGTGACGAGTCTCGATTTTGTTTAGGCATGCACGATGGGCGTGCCAGGGTTAGAAGGCGACGTGGTGAAAGGAGGAAACCACAGTTTTTTGTTGAAAGACATGCTCATCACACTGTTAGAGTTATGGTTTGGGGTGCTATAGCTTATGGTTCCAGGTCACCTTTAATCTTCATCAGAGGTAACATGAACGCGCAGCGTTATATCCACGAAGTTCTAGAACCCCATCTTTTACCCTATCTTGACACCCTGGCAGATCCAACTTTCCAACATGTTGCAAGAGTCACAATAGACTTCTTTCAACATAATGATGTCACATTGTTACCATGCCACCAAGATCTCCCGACTTATCCCCAATTGAGCACGTGTGGTATATGATGGGTAGGAGATTGCTCAATTTGCAACGTCCTCCTCAGACTCTAGAAGCACTTCGAGAGGAGTTGGTGGTTGCCTGGAATGAGATACCACAGGAGGACATTGACCACCTGATCAGAAGCATGCCTAGGCGCGTTGGAGAATGCGTAGCACATCAGGGTGCATCCACACATTATTAAAGGTCAAAGGGCTTTAAAGCAGTGCAATCATTTTGAAATTTTTATCATTTACTTATTATGCTTCATTAAGTACTTATACAAAATTTTATTAAAATAAAACCATTTAAACTGGGTGTTCGGATTTATATGTCACTTAGTATATATGAGATCGTCATCCATAGCAGTGCCGTAATTCCTATTTCTTCAAGAAGTCTGAACCTCCCGGTTCAGAGGAAATATCTCATTAAGTTCAGTGTCATTTTTCACTGATTTTTGGGTTCTTTACTCTTCAACGAGAGAGCGTTTGCTTTTTTAAACAAAGTAAAAATACAATAAATGTCAAGGTACGTAAAATGGATACAATGCTAAACGTGGAAATTTCGCTTTATTCTGCGACAGAGGCATTTGTCGTTTATACAGATCCGTTCTTAAGAAATTTTTGTAGTGAACTTGCATTAATATGTCACTTAGTATATTTCGGTGTTGATGTGCCCAATTAATTCCACTGGACAACAAATTTTAGTTTTTTAATTGTATCTAGTGGGAAAAGTGCACTTCTTTGTTAATTTTGGGGCGCTGAATCCAAAAATGACAATGAAATAAAAAAATTAGTTGCGGTTTAGAAAAAAAACTTTTTACTTTTAAGGATATATTAAAAAAAGTAACAAGAATCATATACTTATGAGAATCACTATATGCGCTGTCTTTTTGCTGTTCTTTTATGGATCGTTTCTGGAGCATCTCTACCAAGAGTCCAACAGTAGTCTGCAAGCATGGAAGGATTCCACTTTCCCTGGTACCTTTTTTTCATTGTTGAAATATCCTGATGAAAACGTTCGCCGTGCTCATCACTTACGGCTCCGCAATTGTCAGGAGAAAAGTCCAGGTGCGAGTGTAAGAAATGTATCTTAAGAGACATATTACAGCCCATCTTTTGATACGATGTCAGCATATTTTTGACAAGGGTTTTATAGTTGTCAGCTTTTCTATTTCCCAAGAAATTACTGACCACCAGACGGAAATCATTCCAAGCAGTTTTTTCAATACCTGTTAAAGTGTTATCAAACTGTGTATCTTTCAAAATATTTCGAATCTGTGGCCCAACAAAAATACCTTCTTTAACCTTTGCCTCACTTAGTCTTGGAAATTTCTGACGCAGGTATTGAAAAGCTGACCCATCTCTATCTAATGCCTTGACAACGTTTTTCATTAGGCCCAACTTGATATGCAGTGGTGGTAATAAAATTTTTTTCGAATCTACTAATGGCATATGCTGTACATTTTTTTGACCTGGCTCTACGAATTGACGAACAGGCCAGTTTTGTCTGGTGTAATGAAGTGCCTTTGCCCGACTGTCCCATTCACACAAAAAACAGCAAAACTTTGTGTAGCCTAGCTGCAGCCCAAGTAAAAGTGCAACAACTTTCAAATCGCCACAAATATGCCATTGGTGCTCATCGTATTTTATGCATGTCAATAGGTACTTCATATTGTCATATGATTCTTTCATGTGAACTGCATACCCTACAGGAAGAGATGGTAAAATATTTCCAATATGCAATAACACTGCCTTTAAACTCAATGTTGAACTGTCTATAAACAATCTCCATTCTTCTGGGTTATAGTTTATATTTAAAGCCGCCAGTAAGCCGTTAATGTTACTGCAGAAAACCAAGTTATTCTCCATATTGAAAAATGGTTCTAAGTCTTTGTGGCGTTTACGAAAAACATATACCGAAACATCGTCTTCTAACAAGTTCCACTGCTGCAGTCTTGATCCAAGTAACTCTGCCTTACATTTTCGAAGTTCTAAATCTTTTACAAGATCATTTAATTCTGACTGTGTTATTTTGTGCGATTGGTGGCATGACGTGCTCGGTAGAAAATCAGGATCTCTTGACGTTGATGGCATATCTTCTTCCTGACGAATCACTCGATCGCCATGATCTGATTCGTTTTCTGATTCGCAAGTGTAGGATTCTGGGGGTTTTGGAATAGCATTTTCGTCACTGTGAGGCACAGGTCTCATCGCAGATGGTATGTTTGGGTAGTTAATAACCGATTTTTTTTTCTTGGACATACCTGTGGCTTGTCCAACACAAGGTACCATGCAAAAGTAACAATTATTAATATGATTTGTAGGCTCTCTCCAAACCATTGGGACAGCAAAGCGCATAGACCGTTTTTTGCCATTTAACCAGCTCCTCAGACTTGAAACACATGTATTACAGCAGATGTGGGGTGCCCACTGTTTGTCTTGATCACCTAGTTTACAACCGAAATAAAGCTGATATGCCTTTGTTATTAGAGGAGTAATAGACCGTCTCTGAGACGCAAAAGTCAGATCACCACACACGTAACAAAACTGATCTGGATTGTTTACACACTTTCGAGACATCTTGCATGAACGCTGTCAGCCAACTGAGGAAAAAATGGCTAATATAAAACAATATAATGTACACGTATGTATAACGTAACACACTCATGCCGATTACATCATCTTTCCTTGCCGAATATAAAAATGTAGCACGTGCATTCTTGTGAATTACAGTATATTAACACTGTCACAGCAGGAACACATATAATTACCGTATCTCTAAAACTTGAAGTAATATTGAAAAAATAAGTTTCATTCCGGTTTTAGCACATTAAAAATAGTAATATTTTGTTGATTTTATTTAGGATATTTTTTGGCTGTTGATCAGTGTTCTTTGTGATCGACGTCAAAACGATTGAAACCGTACCCAAACACACTTTCTGCAATGCCGGAGCCACGACCGATCCCCGGGGTTTGCAGATGGGCATTTTGAGATTACTCTATTTTGAAGCGATTTTTAACCTTGTCTTTAAGAGCATAATTTTTGCCAAAGGCTCATTCTGGATCTTCAAACCGAAACTATAATCCGCTTTCATGATCATTTTAACGATGTTCCCGTTCTGTTTCAGGAAAGACGTACTGCCAGACGTGCAAGAAAAAATGTTCCGGGGAAGTGTTGCGCGTCCAAGACAAATACTTCCACACGCAATGCTTCAAATGCAAAGTGTGCGGAAATTCGTTGGCGCAAGGCGGATTCTTCTCCAAAGACGGCAGCTATTATTGCACGGCAGATTACCAAAGGAATTTTGGTACCAAGTGTGCCGCGTGCCAAGATTATGTCGAAGGAGAGGTAGGTTAAGTTTATTTCGTAGAATTTTATTATCTTCCTTATATATGGCAACAGTGTTAATTTTAACACGTTCTTCTAATGTCATTATCTTCTGTGAATACCTCAGAAATCAAATGAATTAGTTTTTTAGTGAATACCGGTAAAGGTAAGGACCGTTTAAAAAATATCCTCAAGACAAGCTATACACAGTGATAAAAGACGTAAGTGTTTTTAATCAAATTTTAATAAGAGTATGCGAACATACGAACTTTTTTTGGCGAAACAATCCGTTAAAAGTATCTAAAATAGGTGGTGCCACTCTTTGATGTAATAAGGTACAATGTGGGGTAATATGCAAGCGCAAGATTTTTTTGCAAAACTTTTGCCTTCTTCTCTCTAGTCCATGAGCTTGAAAACATTTTTTTCTGTTAGGCGATCAGGTAGCCCGTTTATGCAGCTTCAATAGCCTGTTTTTCAAATCTCGATACGATCATTTGGCGCGGAGATATCTGACTTTGAATGAAAAAGGATCGCACAGAGAATGTAAGGGTATTTCCGAAAACTGGAACAAAACTCCTATAAGATTTGATTTCAATCTATATAGATTTTAATTTGTTTCCTTAGTGTTGATTTTAAAAAAGTCAAGAAGCTTTTGGGCTATCAATACCGAACCCGAAGTCGGTTCACTTGTATCTGATCCCGTTTATCATTTAGATCTAATTATTTAGCGAAACATTGCAAAACTACGCGTTTTTTTGCGACTTTAATGTGCTAAAAACCCGGTTTTACTATCGATGGCTACTTGAAAGCGAATCTTTGCACAATGAGGTAATTTGGGGTGCTGAATATATCACAGTGAAAAAATTCTAAAGTGTCATCAGACTGGATTTAGGGTGAAAAGTTGACAGGAAACTATTTTTCCGGGCTAGCCGTAATTTCTAGCAATGTATCAACATCGAATTTGGAATCTACGCACCCGATTTACCCAGAAAACAAACTTCCATCTCGATCATAGGCCCGCAAGAATTTTTTGTAATTTGTTATTAGTCGTTTTTTTACAAAGTTGAATTCTTGCCAGTATCTTGAAAACGAGGCATTTTCGGACGGAGTGGGCCATAGATTCGGTTTCAGCGACCCAAAAAGCGTATTATATGTTGCGGTCACGTTCCCGACTGACCCATTTTGTGACTTTTTGGTAAGAATACCCCTACCCACATGGTAATTATATGTTAAAATGCTTTGAATGCGGTTCAAATGACATTTATTCCACGTATTTTGGGTTTATAATACCGAATCCGAGGTCGTTTTACATGTATGTGATCCCGTTTATCATGTAGATCTAATTATTTAGCGAAAAACTGCAAAACTATGCGTTTTTTGCGACTTTAAGGTGCTAAGCGCAAGAAGAATTTTTGGCAAAACTTTTGCCTTCTTCTGTCGAGTCCGTGAGCTTGAAAACGTTTTTTTCTGTTAGGCGATCATACGGATCTGGTAGCCCGTTTATTCAGCTTCAATAGCCTGTTTTTAAAATATCGATACGATCATTTGGCGCGGAGATATCTGAATTTGAATGAAAAAGGATCGCACAGAGAATGTAAGGGTATTTCCGAAAACTGGAACAAATCTCCTATAAGATTTGATTTCAATCTTTATAGATTTTTCTTTGTTTCCTTAGTGTTGATTTAAAAAAAGTCAAGAAGCTTTTGGGCTGTCAATACCGAACCCGAAGTCGTTTCACTTGTATCTGATCCCGTTTAGCATTTAGATCTAATCATTTAGCGAAAAATTGCAAAACTACACGTTTTTTGCGAATTTAAGGTGCTAAAAACCCGGTTTTACTATCGATGGCTACTTGAAAGCGAATCTTTGCACAATGAGGTAATTTGGGGTGCTGAATATATCACAGTGAAAAAATTCTAGTGTTATCAGACTGGATTTATGGTGAAAAGTTGACAAGAAACTATTTTTCCGGGCTAGCCGTTAATTCTAGCAATGTATCGACATCGAATTTGGAATCTACTCATCCGATTTACCCAGAAAACAAACTTCCATCTCGATCATAGACCCGCAAGAGTTTTTTGAAATTTGTTATTTGTCGTTTTTTGACAAAGTTGAATTCTTGCCAGTATCTTGAAAACGAGGCATTTTCGGACGGAATGGGCCATAGATTCGGTTTCAGCGACCCAAAAAGCGTATTATATGTTGCGTTCACGTTCCCGACTGACCCATTTTGTGACTTTTTGGTAAGAATACCCCTACCTACATGGTAATTATATGTTAAAATGCTTTGAATGCGGTTCAAATGACCTTTATTCCACGTATTTTGGGTTTCCAATACCGAATCCGAGATCGTTTTACATGTATGTGATCCCGTTTATCATGTAGATCTAATTATTTAGCGAAAAACTGCAAAACTATGCGTTTTTTGCGACTTTAAGGTGCTAAGCGCAAGAAGAATTTTTGGCAAAACTTTTGCCTTCTTCTGTCGAGTCCGTGGGCTTGAAAACGTTTTTTTCTGTTAGGCGATCATACGGATCAGGTAGCCCGTTTATTCAGCTTCAATAGCCTGTTTTTCAAATCTCGATACGATCATTTGGCGCGGAGATATCTGACTTTGAATGAAAAAGGATCGCACAGAGAATGTAAGGGTATTTCCGAAAGCTGGAACAAAACTCCTATAAAATTTGATTTCAATCTTTATAGATTTTTCTTTGTTTCCTTAGTGTTGATTTAAAAAAAGTCAAGAAGCTTTTGGGCTGTCAATACCGAACCCGAAGTCGTTTCACTTGTATCTGATCCCGTTTATCATTTAGATCTAATTATTTAGCGAAAAATTGCAAGACTAGGCGTTTTTTGCGATTCTAAGGTGCTAGATACCATTTTACTATCGATGGCTACTTGAAAGCGAATATTTGCTCAATGAGGTAATTTGGGGTGCTGAATATATCACAGTGAAAAAATTCTAAAGTGTCATCAGACTGGATTTAGGGTGAAAAGTTGACAGGAAACTATTTTTCCGGGCTAGCCGTAATTTCTAGCAATGTATCAACATCGAATTTGGAATCTACGCACCCGATTTACCCAGAAAACAAACTTCCATCTCGATCATAGACCCGCAAGAGTTTTTTGTAATTTGTTATTAGTCGTTTTTTGACAAAGTTGAATTCTTGCCAGTATCTTGAAAACGAGGCATTTTCGGACGGAGTGGGCCATAGATTCGGTTTCAGCGACCCAAAAAGCGTATTATATGTTGCGTTCACGTTCCTGACTGACCCATTTTGTGACTTTTTGGTAAGAATACCCCTACCTACATGGTAATTATATGTTAAAATGCTTTGAATGCGGTTCAAATGACCTTTATTCCACGTATTTTGGGTTTCCAATACCGAATCCGAGGTCGTTTTACATGTATGTGATCCCGTTTATCATGTAGATCTAATTATTTAGCGAAAAACTGCAAAACTATGCGTTTTTTGCGACTTTAAGGTGCTAAGCGCAAGAAGAATTGTTGGCAAAACTTTTGCCTTCTTCTGTCGAGTCCGTGGGTTTGAAAACGTTTTTTTCTGTTAGGTGATCATACGGATCTGGTAGCCCGTTTATTCAGCTTCAATAGCCTGTTTTTAAAATCTCGATACGATCATTTGGCGCGGAGATATCTGACTTTGAATGAAAAAAGGATCGCACAGAGAATGTAGGGGTATTTCCGAAAACTGGAACAAAACTCCTATAAGATTTGATTTCAATCTTTATAGAGTTTTGTTTGTTTCCTTAGTGTTGATTTTAAAAAAGTCAAGAAGCTTTTGGGCAGTCAATACCGATCCCGAAGTCGTTTCACTTGTATGTGATCCCGTTTATCATGTAGATCTAATTATTTAGCGAAAAACTGCAAAACTATGCGTTTTTTGCGACTTTAAGGTGCTAAGCGCAAGAAGAATTGTTGGCAAAACTTTTGCCTTCTTATGTCGAGTCCGTGGGTTTGAAAACGTTTTTTTCTGTTAGGTGATCATACGGATCTGGTAGCCCGTTTATTCAGCTTCAATAGCCTGTTTTTCAAATCTCGATACGATCATTTGGCGCGGAGATATCTGACTTTGAATGAAAAAGGATCGCACAGAGAATGTAGGGGTATTTCCGAAAACTGGAACAAAACTCCTATAAGATTTGATTTCAATCTTTATAGAGTTTTGTTTGTTTCCTTAGTGTTGATTTTAAAAAAGTCAAGAAGCTTTTGGGCAGTCAATACCGATCCCGAAGTCGTTTCACTTGTATGTGATCCCGTTTATCATGTAGATCTAATTATTTAGCGAAAAACTGTAAAACTATGCGTTTTTTGCGACTTTAAGGTGCTAAGCGCAAGAAGAATTGTTGGCAAAACTTTTGCCTTCTTATGTCGAGTCCGTGGGTTTGAAAACGTTTTTTTCTGTTAGGTGATCATACGGATCTGGTAGCCCGTTTATTCAGCTTCAATAGCCTGTTTTTCAAATCTCGATACGATCATTTGGCGCGGAGATATCTGACTTTGAATGAAAAAGGATCGCACAGAGAATGTAAGGGTATTTCCGAAAACTGGAACAAAACTCCTATAAGATTTGATTTCAATCTTTGTAGATTTTTGTTTGTTTCCTTAGTGTTGATTTTAAAAAAGTCAAGAAGCTTTTGGGCTCTGAATATGAATATTATAGTGAAAAAATTGGAAAGTATCATCAGACTGGATTTAGGGTGAAAAGTTGACTAGAAACTATTTTTCCGGGCTAGCCGTAAAGGCTAGCGATGTATCGACATCGAATTTGGAATCTATGCACCCGATTTACCCAGAAAACAAGTTTCCATCTCGATCATAGACGCGCAAGGGTTTTTAGAAATTTTTTATTAGTCGTTTTTTGACAAAGTTGAATTCTTGCCAGTATCTTGAAAACGAGGCATTTTCGGACGGAATGGGCCATGGATTCGGTTTCAGCGACCCAAAAAGCGTATTATAAGATATGTTGCGTTCACGTTCCCGACTGACCCATTTTGTGACT